CTTGCAAAACTACAGCATTATTTAGGATTTTTGTTGTTTTATAATGAATATATAATATGAAAAATGCTATTTCAAATAATGCTTTATGATCTATATTGGTCCACACATATGAGAGTTTAATTGCTGAAGCTGATTGTGCTCTAACATTTTCCTTTTCTGCTGTTACCCACAATATTTCATATGCAGGATATTTGCCCTTTTTCACTTGTAGATAGAAACACACATATCTCTAATTATTGATAAATGTGGTATCATCTCCCTTGACTGCCAAACAATTAACCCACCAAGATCTGCTGATAGCATGAGGTATAGAAACACTTATAATATAAAGAACCCAAAGTGAACAATTTTAAGGCACATTATGCTTTGAATTATTTAGCTCACTACACAGAATACATTGAGAGAAACACAATACACATCTCAATTGAAACTCCTCTTTAGCGCAGAGGCTTTAATATTAAAGTGAATGGAGCAGGTTAATCCGTGGGAATAACAGATGTCACCTGGAATATCTGTCTGTGCCAAAAGCGTGTGCTCGGGCAGGTGGAAACATCTGGTTTTAATTTTGCTTCCACTCAAAGCTAGCAAAATGCAAATCAGCTCCAGGTTTGATAGCTCTGCTCCTGCAAGAGTGTGTCACCCGAGATGACGGATACGAGCAGAAACCTGAGCCAATGACATTAAATAGTTCTGCTTTTACACCCGGCTCGCAGCCTGCTGTGCTCCAGCGGAGGCAGCGTGCGCCCAGGTCAGATGATGGAGATACACCAGGGCACCCGAGAAAAATGGTTTGCTGTATGGGGTGCTACCTGAAACCTAATCCGCTGTTCTGTCATAGCTTATCTTTGGACAATTTTCTGTGCTTTGGATCTTCATCTACAAAATATTAGTTATCTAATTATCACAGTATTGCAGAGATAAATCAATTGATGGCTGTCATGCACTTCAATACTGTTGTAATGAGGTTCATATAAAATACTTCAGAGAGGTCCTTAGAGCTATGTTCTACAAAAGTGCAGTAATCTGGACAGGCAGAGTTTACATCTCAGGCATGAGACACCCAGCAGCTTCAGGAAGAGGAAAAAAATCTGTTCATTTGATGTATTTATGTACCTCTTCTTGCTGGACAAAGGGAGCAAAGAACAAACATTTAGTTCTATTCCAGAGAGAGAAAAAAAATGCAAAGTTCAACCAATATTCTAGCTGTTTGCTTCTACCTTTATTAAAAACAACTTCTGAAACTATAAAGTTAAGTTATATATGCGATTCAGACCAATTTGTGATTCACACAGTCAGTGGTTACAGAGCAGCTCTGCCCCCACACTGCTTACTGTCTAGGAGTGCTGAGAACCCCAAAGAGTCCACTCAGGAACCTGCGATGACATGGGTGTGTGTTTCTATTCCTGTATTAATGAGAGTTAACAATATTACAGAGAAACTTCTTTTTTAAAAATTGCCATTTCCAACCTTGATGTCAGACATAACGTGCAGGGAGAAAATTGTTTCACTGATGTTATTAAACAACTTGGTTGTTTGCTTAGCCTCCGACTTCTGGGGTTATGGGCAACCAGAACAGGTTTCTTGAACCATTTTCACCCAGTAGCTCATGAGAGAGCACATAGAAAATTATATTTTCAATGTTGTTCCTACAAATTAAGCCATCCAAGGGAGACTGTTCCAGACAAAACCAGAATTTGACCAAATGAAACTCACCAACCTACATTATTAGGAACATGAATTTGTACAGGACTAAGTATTCTTTGTTCTTTTTTTCCCCCTCCCCTAAAGAATAGTATCGTTTCTACAAGTTGGTGGGAGTGGAAACCTATAAATAACTGTTGATTGGTTGGGAATAACAATCCACTTACATTTGTACAGAGTAATAATCATAATTAATAACTTAGTAATATTCTGTACAATGTCATGACCTGGTAGAAGGTCTTTCATCTACAATTAATTATACTCCTCATTTTGGATAGATTTTTTTTTAGAAATAGGAATTACAGTATTTGTCCTGATCTATTCAACTGCTAACATTAGTTTAATTTAATTCACTGTGAAATTTTGTTTCTGATTTGCACCAATGAAAGTGGAATCAGATGCATAACTCCTGAAAATTACCTTACAACAGCTTTGCTTGCTTTTACCGAGGTACAGAAATAGAATTCTTTCCTTGTAAAAATGAGAAAATAGGCATGCACTTACCTTTACTGACTGTCCATTTCTTCCATTTTGATAATGCAGTAGCTGCAGAGATAAAAGATAGGCTTGGAGGACATTTGTTTTAAAATGTACTCTTTGAAGAGTTATTGGATTTATATGCTTTTTTATGGAAAAAGGCAAAACAAAAACCATGGTGAAAACTAGAATGCATAAATAGACCATGTACCTAGTTATGTACTATAAATTATGCAGATGGGTATTTTTAACTGGGGAGAGGCAAAACAGGAACTGAAGAAATGTAGCTGCTTCTAAGCCCTAATGTGATGATATTTTGTTGTTCTAGAGACAACTAGAACTGCACATATACAGAGAGGCTTATAGAGCTTTGCTTACTTCTCAAAGGGAATTGATAAATGGGGGAAGGCATCCCAAGGGGTTCCCTTAGTTTAACAAAAACAAAAGTACTTTTCAGTACATTGCTTTTTCCTGACATCTTCCCTCAAATAAAATGAATTATGCACACAGATTGTTTATTGTCAATTTGCATGCTGTGGAATTTCTGTTGTAATAAACAGAGCTCTGAGGACTTCTCTTTAAATGCTTTTCCTGTTTATTTATGTGTTTTTTATCAATACAAATGCTTATCTCAACGCTAACATTTTATCCCTCCCCCCCAAAATAAGAAACTTTATTAATTTGGAGATGCTGAGATATGTTGTAAGTTGCTGTCTCTCTGCATCTTTCCATCTGGCGGAAAAAATGGAATAGGAAAGTTTACATTCCTGCAGGACTGATTGTGAGATCTGCTGCATTTCTTATATACTTAGAAAAGAGATTCACTAGGTGTTTAACTTAATTTTATAACTCAATTTGCTGTAGGATTTAGGAATAGTTATTCACAACTAAAAAGAAGCATGCATATAAAAAAACAACCTGAGGAAATTTTTTTGGCAACTCCATTTTGTACACAAATATGGCATTTTTTTTTTTCAAGCAGGTGCAGTTCTGTCTTCTTCCTCCAATAGCTCAAAGCACAAGATCTGTCAGGATTCAGAAAACATGTAGAGCAATGCCTACCAATCAAGACACCCGGTCTGGAAGAAGTCTTCTGAGAATGGTTGCGGACACATACTCAAAAGGACAAGTGCTGCCAAAATCTGCTTGTAGCTGCTTTATAAAAACCCAGCTGCAGCAGTATCTATCATTATAATACCCCAGGAGTTGCAATATTTACCCAGAAACCTTTGAGAACTAACTTGTATGCTCTGGGAAGATTCTCCCCCTGAGAAAGCTACTCTGGTCAGTGAGCAGTTCACTCTTTCACATCCTTTCTCCTCCTGCTCTATGAATCTTTCCTCCTTTTTGACACAGGGCGACAATGTACCTACAGGCTACCGTGGTTTGCATTCAGAAGTAAATGGATTTTAAAAAGAAATAATCTTGAGGGCAAATTGGGACTCCATGACTCCACACTTAAGTCAAGGCATTAGACACTAGTGTAAACGCATTTCTGATTAAGTGTTCAAACCAGTAAGTAGGTAATTTTGTACAAGGAGGGCATGACAATGTTTTTAGCACAAGATTTTTTCCATTCTTTCAGATTAGGCATCTTACCTTATGAACCGGTTTTGACTCTGGTCTCTGAGGAGGCTGTGTAGCATCTCCCTCGCGGAACTGACTGAGTTGCCTAAATTGCAGCGAGGACACAAAAATTGGACTCCTCCCATGCTCAGAATTTTCTGCTGGTGACTGCTGAGGCACTAGCAATTCACTAATGAACCTGAGGGTCTTTGGATTGTCTCCCCAAGTGTACTAGTTCTCTCCACAGCATTGCAGAGAAAGCACATAGTGGGTTTTAGCTTCCATTTCTTGGGACCAGTCATCTAAAAAATAACCGTTGCAAAAAATCACCGCAGTTCTTTATCCATCTGTCTTTAGTGGTGGTGTGAGACAATTTTACTCTAAGTTGCTAGTACTGAAGGAGCCCTACTTCACTGAAGTATTGCCATTGAAAACAGCTAGGCAGAGAAGCTGTTCTTGGAGGATATCTTTGCTCACTGAAGCAGATTATAGTGCTCCACAGATTTACACAATCTTGAAACAAGTAAGAAGATGCAGAATGCTCATTTTGGCTCAGGTTTCTGTGGCTCCCTGTTCTCATTATAAATGTGCTTATTAGAGGCCATCATAAAGGCTCTGCATATATGTTTGGAGTTAAACACCTGCACAACCTTTGGCATGATGGGGTTGTAGCTATTGGTAGTTATTTTCATCTGCTCTCATGCTAGCTTATTTTCTATGTTTTAAAGGTTACCAAAGCAGCAAAATGTCATTAAATATTGTTAAGACATGAAAAGCTTGGTGAAGAACTTGAAGTCCTACAGAAAAAAAAAAAAAAAAAAAAAAAAAGCTACACAAAAGCTATATCACCCCTTTGCTTGAATATTGAAATATATAATAAAACTCAGAATTTCAACTAATATTACTACAAAAAAACCCCATTGTAATAGATTTCAACAGATGATTTACTGCATGTTGCTCACAGACCCTATTATGAAGCAAATAATGAAACCCAAACCAAACTGTCCTACATTATGCTCATAAAAAGCATCTGGCTTCTTTACTGAAAGAAATCAAAACACAGGCTCTAAAAACACCAGATAACCTAGACCAACTGTAGCACAAACAAGATAATGGACCCTTATTACACCCTAACATTCTCGTGCTAGTGTCATGTTGTCTTTAACTGTAAAATACAGATTTATCAAACACTACCAGCTCTTCATCCCCTTTTCCAGGTGTGTTAATAAGGCTTAATTACCAAAATAATCACTTGCAGTAAAATGATGTTCCTCAGCCTGTTTTTCTGTCCTAAGACCCAATAACAAGAAACCACCTTCCTGAACCTTACTCGGGGAGTGGATTTTAAGACCCAGTTGAATCAGCCACAATGGTAATGTAGAGTTGTTCTCAACACAGGGTTTTCAGGTATTTGTAAACAAAGACAAAAGATTAATTTTTTATAGGGACCTCATCTCGTCTCAGCTTACCCTGCTGTTGTGTCTGTACAATGTTTCCTTATAACAAAATTTGAAGGGGGAACAACATTTTCGAAGAATTTTCTCACCACAGGAAGTGTTAACTGACATGTAGCATGGGAAATATGTAGGGCTATATTGATAACTTCAGTTTTGGGGGCCTTAAAAAATCTTAAAACCCACAAAGGATTTGTTAATATGAGATAATAAGATTTTTCACATTTTTAATGCATGTTAACTTTTATTTGTTTAAAAATTTCTAATATTAGAACCAATCCTCTTTTTGGTGGTTTGGTTCTAAGGCTCTGGAGGATCAGAAATTGATTCAGAATTTCAGAGCTCCTTCTTTCCAATTTGGATAAAGAAACATGTTACAAGCTGTGTGTAAGGCTTCAGGGTTTTGTGCTTTTTAAGGGTGAAGGTTGATGGCTTTTTTAAAAACAGGTTAGAAATCACTCTAGTAAAGACTTGTGCTGTATCAGCAGATCTGTATGAAAGTAATAGGTATAAAATGATGTATGGGCTTCTTTTCTTTAATAAAAAACCCCAAACAAAAAAACACAAACAAACAAATAAACAAAAAAAACCCAGAAGGTGAGATCTCAGCGTAAATAAGGAAAAGCTAGCTGCAATATACATTATATGAACATACAGACTTGTGCAAAGCATTTGACACTGTTCCACATGACATCCTTGTCTCTAAATTGGAGAGGCATGGCTTTGACAGATGGACCACTTGGTGGATAAGGAACTGGCTGCATGGTCTCACTCAAAGGGTTGCAGTCAATGGCTCAATGTAGAGGTGGAGAGCAGTGACGAGTGGTGTTCCTCAGGGATCAGCATTGGGACCAGTGCTGTTTAACATCTTTGTTGGTGACGTGGCCACTGGGATCGACTGCACCCTCAGCAAGTTTGCTGATGACACCAAGCTGTGTGGTGTGGTCGACATGCTGGAGGGAAGGGATGCCATCCAGAGGGACCTGGACAGGTTGGAGAGGTAGGATCACGTAAACCTCATGAAGTTCAGCAAGGCCAAGTGCAAGGTACTGCACATGGGTTGGTGCAATCCCAAGCACAAATCCAGGATGGGCAATGAATGGATCGAGAGCAGCCCTGCGGAGAAGGACTCGGGGGTATCAGTGGATGGAAAACTGACTATGAGCCAGCAATGTGCGCTTGAAGCCCAGACAGCCAACTGTATCCAGATCTGCATCAAGAGAAGTGTGGCCAGAAGGTCGAGGGAGGGGATTCTCCCCCTCTACTCTGCTCTTGTGAGACCTCACCTGGAGTGCTGTGTCCAGCTCTGGGGCCCCCAGTATAAAAAAGACATGGACCAGTTGGAGGGAGTCCAGAGGAGGGCCATAAAGACCAGGAGGCTGGAATACCTCTCCTATGAGGACAGGCTGAGAGATTTGGGGTTGTTCAGCCTGGAGAAGAGAAAGCTCTGGGAAGACCTTATAGTGGCCTTCCAGTACTTAAAGAAGGCCTACAGGGAAGACAGGGAGGGACTCTTCATTAGGGCATGTCGTGATAGAAGGATGAAAGAGGGTAGATTTAGATTAGATATAAAGAAGAAATACTTTAATGTGAAGGTGATGAGACACTGGCACAGGTTGCCCAGAGAAGCTGTGGCTGCCCCCTCCTTGAAAGGGTTCAAGGCCAGGTTGGACGGGGCTTTGAGCAACCTGGTCTAGTGGAAGGTGTCCCTGCCCATGGCAGGGGGGTTGGAACTAGATGATCCTTAAGGTCCTTTCCAACACAAACTATTCTATGAATCTATGATTCTATGAACACTAAATTAGCTTAGAATTTATTATTTTTTCTTCCTGTGTCTCATATGCTTTTGAAATTGCATGCTCAATGTCATTTTATGTCTTTGAAATGACTATGTGGACTATATTTTCTTAGTTTAATTATTAATAACTTATATAGTTGAATATTTTTCTTCTCCTGAAGGGCACAAATATTAGACCTCAATTTCAGGACAGTCATAGCAATGAAATGCCCTAAGTCCAGATCTTTTAAGATCCTTGATACGGATGAGCCACCCTGTACGATTAGGGCCACAAATAGTTAACAGACTTTGCTTTCATTCTTTTAGAAGAAAACAACTTACTTGTTTCTCAAATTACAGTGTTTGGTTTCGCATCTGAAATCAGATTCCTATATCTTTTTGTAACTTTCCAATAGAAAAGAAAAATCAGAGAAGTACACCTATTCTAACTTTTTTTTTTTTTTTTTTAATTGAATTAAAAGCATCTGTCTCACTACTAGTGTAGTAATAATGCTCTCCACATCTATTTTCTGAGTCCTTTCCTTTTGGAGGAATTTTGAGATTGAATATTGTTTTCTGAACTTCACTCATCCCACACTGCATTGCATAGCAATTTAACTAAAATGACTGAAGCATTAACATTTTAATTATGAAGATTTTATTGAGAATTTATTCTTCAGAAGCCCATAAGTTTTATGATAACCTTTCACAAGTGCCTTCCTTTAGCCTTTATATTTAGTGAGACACAGAAGACCATTAGTCTGCAGAAATTTTATTGCAGTAGGTTTTAAATAAAAAATAGACTAGCCATTAACCTTTTCAGCTAAAAATGGGTTAATTGGGAGATAGTATTGCTAGTATCATTTTCATAACTGTTTCAACGTGTTAGAAGAGCAGTACGGAAAAGATGTGGACTCCTTCATGTGAGATTTACTCATTCCACGTGTAAATAGATCCAGTGGTGCCAATTCAGCATCATCTATGAGCCCTGAACTAACTTGAAAAAGAATTCATACCATGGAAAATAATATAGTGGGGGGTAAAGTTAGGTTTTTCTCTTATGTTTAGTATAAGAAAGGGTAACTAGGCACCTGTATAGAGACTTAGATTCTAAAAGCATAACATAATTATTCACATTCTTTTGGGTGGGTGAATATTAACAAACAAGATGCAGGATGCATAAGAGCAACCTGCATAACCTGAACAAGTGGTATAAACACTATATTTGCTGTCTTACAGCCTTAGGGCAAAAGCTCAAGTCCTGCAGTGAACTCTGTCCTGATGCACTTGCATCCTATAATGCTTTACATCAAAGGAGATGACTGTAGGTATAAGAAAAGGGCATTACCGGGAGCACAGTATCCAATTTTCTGGCAAGGCAGTTCAGCAGATATTAGTGTCCCCTGGACTCTTTCTTTGGGCAAACTGTTGGATTAGATGACCTTCTGGGGTCTGTTCCACTGTTTTTCTTTGGTTCTGTATCATGTAGCTCACTGTAGGACTGTGTTGTCAAGAAAAAAAAATGTGTTGATTTTTTTCCTGCATATAGAGGACAACAGCATCTGCCAAAGACACATAGTATAAAGCTGCAGTTGACCACTGGCCCAATGTGTTAAAGAAATTTGAATATTCGTATTTTCTTCCATATGAAAAAAACAGCAAGTCTTTAATACTGCTATAGCTAGATATCATAAATCTTGAAATGAAAGCATATGTTTCTTTCACACATTCCCACTTTTATGCTTCAATTTGTCCCAGCCTACCTGAAGTGTTTTTACTCAAATTAGATCTGTTACTAGCATAAAATTATAGCTGTTCTATTTATGTGATATAAAAAAATTAAATAGAAATGTATCTGGCTATACTTACGATTGGATATTTTTAGGATTGCTTCCTAATCTTGCTGTGGAAATCTAATGTAATATAATGTAATATACAACATAAGAGATCGAATTATTATCCTTATAGCTATAATATAGGCCATCATGAATGAAAAAAAAAGGATACAATAATGAATATTAAAAATCTAATTATTTGTGTCATTTAGAACATTGTATTTGTTTTATAATATAAACAAGAATATGGCACATTTGTGCAACACATTCTGTTTATTGAAAAACAAATACAAAATGAGATAATTTTAACTGCATATTGTATCATGGGAAAAAAAGATCTGTGGGAAAACACTAGAAAAAAAAATCACAGTAATGAATGAAAAAATCAGGAACCGAGAAACTTACAGCTAGGGACCCATTTGTTCTTTAGGATTGTTATGCTAATTTTGGGGACTTGCTGCAGCCACAAAGTTGAGATTTAGGATGAATACACCAATTACTAACTACTAATGCTATAAAGATATCCCTAGCTTCCTGAGGTAATTTAAAAGACTTATTGGTATCCCGCTTTTCAAGCATTGCACTTTTACTTGAACTGTGTAAGAGGTAAACTCTTTAAAAGTCAATAAAACTTAACAGTTTCCTTAAGAAAACAGAAGTGGTTTCCTTGGGAAGTACTATGTTCTAATTCTCCACTAATTTAAAAAAAAAAAAAAAAAAAAATCTATCTAGAGGCCTGTGAATAAGACCCAGAGTTGGGGTATTAGCCCACTGATGTATTATTTTTAAGGAAATGTGTTCTTGGATACATTTTAACACTTACTAAGCCTTTCTTACCCAAGCTTACCTTAATGGCTGTTCACTGCCAAAATAAGACAGTGCATTAATAAAATTCGAACTATTTATTTTCAGTAAATTGTTTTTGACAGAAACTTATTTCTCAGTTTAAGTCACAGAATTGCATTAAATCAATCTCCCAAATTACTTAGGGCAATGATTGGGTGAGGAAGGGACACTACATTTAATTAAAATATTTTAGCAAGAAAGCAAAGGCATATTTTTGTCTTAACTTTTCACTCTATAAACTGATCTATGATGAAATAGTCCTGCTTTTTACTTTTCCTCAATTTGATAAAACTTAATACATGGACAGAAGTGCTGTGATATTTGTGAACATATGGTCTAGACTATTGTTTCCCAATTGAGTTCTAAATTAAAATTCTGAAATCAGGTCATTCTCACCCACTGAATTCTCAGGCATATTGTGTAGAAACTGATTTTTTTTTTTTTTTCACCAGTGACTTCTCTTTCTTCTCTCACAGCCATATTTCCTTTTACCAACCCCCAAAGCAACAGCTCTCTCAACTCTTCTTATGTTGCTCTATTCTACGTGTTCTGTCTTGTTTCCACAACACATTTAGGACTCACAAATCTGCGACAGCCTCTAGAATTGCTCTTTAAGCCTCAAAAGCCAGTCGTCTAATATTCAATGGCCAGACTGTATTCCCAGAGCACTTTCCCCTGGGATTTACTAGTGCACAGATATTTTTTTTTTTAAATGTAACTACATTTGATAATTTTGTAGTTTCTTTTTGTTTTCCTTGTTACACCATAAAAATTCCAGTGCACTTTCCAATTATAACCAGCCTAGGATTTATTTTTATATATATATATATTTTTAATAGGGCAGGTAAAATTGATTTTCATCTGTTAAGGTAAAACTCTGAAATTATGTAACTTCTTTAAACAATCCTAAAACTGCATGCAGTACAGGAGGCTGTAAGACAGCTAACATGATACCACCTTATAACTGTAAAACTAACATGAAGGGTTGTGACAATTATTCTAATAACTCTCCCCTTATCTCCATGGAATGCTATCTGATGCTGTGACCACTCAGCATCTAAACGATACATGATACAAATATTGTTTTCCTCCTACAGTGAGACAATTAATGGGAGGATGAATCTTGATAAACAATTTTAATTGATACTTACATCCAGACTATCTTAAATAGAGAAGTAAATATATGGTTATATATTTCATAAAATTATTATAAAACATATAATTATTACAAAGAACTCAAGATTGCTGTTCAAATGCAGTACCATATTGCAGAGCATGCACTTTAAGTTTCAGTTCATGTCTGATATAAAAGAAAACCTAAACATGAAATCAGACTGTTACTGAAATGGAAATTACCTAGTTTACTGTTCAAAGCAAGAAATGCTAAACTTATAATATTTAGTTTGCTTATTGCAAAAATGTAGAGAAAGTTAAGTAGGAAAACATTTTATTTCAAAATATAAGATCAAAACACAATGATTAGACGTTCCAGTAGAACTCACTTTAAACTTACCAAGTGACAGATTTAAAGAGTGATTTTCCTGTGAGACAAAATTAATAAATACAGAAGCTGACACAACGCTGCCTTGCCACCATAGGTACTCTCTTTTTCTATTACTAATAATCATCAATATATACACAGCTGAAATCTTTTTCAAAAGAATTGTTTTGTGTATATTGTCTACCTGCTTTGTGATATTACAAAATGAAGCAATGAGATACATATGTAATACATCAACATTTCGGTGTGAAGCTGCTATTGGTAGGTGGCTTGAAAGCACTGGGCCTTAGAAAACAGAACTACTTTGTGTTAAAAGTGCAGGTGACATTATTTGGAGCTAGACGTAAAAACATGATAGCCTTTTCAGCAATTGCTAGTGAGCTCAGCAAATCTCTGATGGCAACTAACTGTTTGATGATTCTGTTTCTGTCCCTTAACTCTCTGCCTCACCATGTACATTGGATCCTGAGAACATTTTGCACTGCATGATCCTTCCGTTGTAGGACATATGCCTGGCAGAGTGGGAGCACTTATAAAATCAATGTTTCACATACTGATTTGCCTGTATACTCTGAGCAAGAGCTGAGTCTTGCTGTGTTTCATGGTGAGTTCATCTTCTTTCATCTGTTGCCTGTACAAGGTGCAGAAGGAGCATGCTCCCATTCCTAAGCAGAAGATGAAGATGTTAGAGTGCTTTATGCTTTTTTTTCCAAGAGCTCCTCTGGGGCTCTCCTGCAGCTGCTGCTGTGTTTCATAATCTCACATGTCCTGGGTTTGAGTGAGTGGTGGGATTTTTTGGTAGCAGGGGAGGGGGCTATAGGAGCAGCCCCCTGTGAGAAGCTTCTCGAAGCTCCCCCAGCTCCACGTCAGCTCCATTTCTGCTCAAAAACTGAGCCCATCAGCTGCGCCTCTGCGATAACACATTTAAGTAGGGACGTGGTGAGGAGGAGTTGGACTTGTGAGGAGGAGTTGCAGCATCTGTGTGAACAGCAAGGTCAGTGGAGGAACAGAGGAAGAAAGGAGGCGGGAGGTGTGCTGGAGCAGAGACCCCCCCGTATCCTGTGGTGAGACGGCAGGGCGGCCCCCCCACCACCACCCATGAAGATCTACGGTGGAGCAGACACTGATTTATGGCCTGTGTATTGTTTCGCCTGGCTGACCAAAGTGTCTGTGCCCGAAGAAGGCTGGGGTCTTGTGGGAAAAGGTAGCCCCTGCTGTTTTAGTTCAGCTCTGGGAGGATTGCAGTACACGGGGGTGTCCCATGGCGGAGCAGCTCGGGAAGGGCTGCAGCCTGTGAAAGGGACTCACATCGGAGAAATTTTGTGGAGGACTGTCTCCTGTGAGAGGGGAACCACGATGGATCAGGGGGAACAAGTTCCAGAAGCTCCCCCCACCGAAGATGGAAGAAGTGACACTACTGACTGCACCCCCCATGCCCTGCCCCCTGCGCTGCTGTGGGGAGGAGGTAGAGATATCAGCAGCAGAACTGAACCCAGGAAGAAGGGAGGGGTGGGGGGAAGGTGTTCTCAGGATGTGGCAATGCTTCTCACTGTCCTACTCTGTTACGTGTTGTTAGTGTCTGTAATAAATGTATGTTCTTTTTTTTTCTTCCCCTAACGAGTCTGCCTTTTGCCCATGACTATAATGGGTGATTTGTCCCTTCTGGTCCTATCTCAAATCCCAAGCCTGGCTCATTTGTCCCTTCTCATCGCTGGAAGAGAAGGGGGAGTGAGGGGCTGCGTGGTGTTTGGCTGCCGACCAGGCTCAATCCACAACATCACTTCAGATATGCAGACTCCTGAAGGTCACTTAAAAGCTCCATTATTTTTGTGTGTACTTTGGTCTCCCCGTGGTCTGCAAAGTTTTCATGAAGTATGTTCTGGATCATTCTTGTAGAAGTAGCTGGTGCAGGTGAGCACCTAGACTAAAAATCACCATCTTCCAACATCTTAAACGAGGTTTTTTACCCAAAAGAAAAATGTACATTTTACTGTTATCCCTCCTCCACCTTAAGAGAAGCACAAAAAATGCTTTTTATAAGACTGCTTCATGGTTACTGTGTCTGAGTTAACTCTGTTTAAAAGCAAATGCAATAAACTACCATCACAAAATGGTCTCTATTATATAACAACTTGAGTTTACCCTAGCTCTCTGAGGACCTGAGCAGTCTGAACAATGATATTTTTTGATATATTATCACAAGAAAAGAAACTATCTACAGTTTTCATGCAGAATAATGAAAGAAATGGGCCATGGGTAGATCAGAAAAGAAGTATTGCAGAAAACAGTTGTATGTAGAAGATATTAATACAGCAGATTTCTTTCAGGGTTGGAATAGATAATATTCTTCACCCTGAATAGCCATTTGTTCCACTAGGTTACAAGGAAAAAGGGTATTTTCAAAGTTTAGGTATCCAGTAAACCTACAGAAGCAGACAAGAAAACAGAGATTAACATTCCAAATTGAGTTCTGTTTCTTTTTAAAGAAAACATCACCATACAAAGATAAATGTTGTGACACATTAAGGTCTTACTAGGACAACTGATAAGTTATGGCTGGTGAGGCCATGGAGGTTAGGAATGACAGTCTGTGAAAGACAGGCTTTTAATGGCATTAAATATAAGAGAAAAAAGTGAGTAACAAACAATTCCACACTGGAAAAAGCTGTGCTAAGAACAAAAGAGAACATTCATTAGCACACAACACAATGTGCTACAAGAAGTGCAACCAGGAAGAAGACAGGTATAACGAAGATAAGCATGTACTGGATTTGGCATCACCCACATTCAGAGCAATAAAAGAGGCATGTGGGAGGGCCAGATGCATCAAGGTTCATAACATGTTGATTGTCCAGCACTAGACAAGACAGTCACAAAGAGCACAAAGCAAACCACTTTTATAAGCATACTACACAGGAAAATAAGGAAGTAAAAAGCATACAAATTTGTAAAAGCTTCTAGCAGAGGAATTTAGCAATAGTACAACATTACTTCACAGCTACAGTACAGGATCAAGAAAATCTTTTCACCATTATAATATTGGTATCATTTTCATCATTAGAATTATATGAAGTGAGTATTACCAAGTATATAAATGAAAATGTGAACATCTAGATTTTTAATAAATACATGTACGAAGCCAATACTGGGACAGAGAGCTGTAAAATCATTGCATTTTATTAAAAAAAAAATTAGAAAATATTTTTAATCTCACAAAATACTTCAGAGCAGAGAAAATAAAATTCATCATGAAGCCTGCAGGCACATCATTTATTACGGTATATGTGCACGCAGCTCCAGGACTATGTGCACTGTTACAACTGCCATTAGCAAAATGCCTAAAGGAAAGAAAAAAGCCTTTTAGATCATGGCATACATGAATATAATGAAAAAAGGTGGTGAACTCACTGCAATGTATTGCCTCAATTACTGCACTAGAAACTGGAGAGACTGTTCTGATACAGTGCGTTAGCTTTTAAGACCTAAAAGGAACAATAAGGTGGAGTGCTAAAATTTACCTGCTACAGATGATGTAATCTTTTTGCTCTGCAGATCTCACACATTTTACGTACTGTGTGTTCTACCTGGATACCAGGAGTTCAGGCCAGGCAGACTGTAGCAACCCACTTTTCAGCTCTCTGGAAGATGGCAGTCCAAGAAAATGCTTTTTATCATGACTGTTGCACATAAGATTTTTAAGGAAGGTGCAACGATATACTAGAAGGACTGTTTGGAATTAGCCATTATTGATAGTATACTGAAACAACAACAATAGCAAAAGATTATGGCAAAATCCTAATGTCACAGGCAAAAGATACAGGAGTTGCAGTCTAAAATTCAATTACATTTGATGGAAAATTGGTGCTAACAATTTTGGTTATGTCTAGGAACAGTGATGTATCTAACTCTCCAGAGTTAGCACATAAAGAGCTGAAGAACATAATGAAAATGATGACTAAGACTGGCAGAAATCTAGAGCAATTGGGGAGGTAAGGATGAAAATGTTATTGGGATCACAGGATGATTTCACAGATGATGTTTTCCATAACATGAAGGATATAGTCGTTTACTTGTTCTTGCATCATCTTAGCTCATTCAAGGAAAGGCACTGTGGTCCAATACACAACAAGGAGAAGTTAAGAGTAGCCCTTAATTAATTTAAATTTATGGTTATCAGAATAGTAATTACTTGTGGACACTATACTTTTTTTGTTTGTTTGTTTTCATTACATATATGGGTACACAGGAGCAATAGAAACTAAATATGATCAGGTCAGATTCAACAAAAATCTTGATAAAGCTTTGGCTCTTTCAGTGCTCACTCTATAACACAATATAAAATATACAAATGTACAACTTTAATGAGGCATATAATCCTTAAAAAAAAAATTTTTTTTATATATTTTGTACAAAACAGAATCTTTGAAGTTGGACAGGACCTCTGGAGGTCATCTGGTCCATCTCCCCTGCTCAGGCAGAGCCACCTAGAGCCAGTTGCCCAGGACCATGACCAGACAGCTTTTGGTTATCTTCAGGGATTGGAGACTCCACAATCTCTCTGAGCAACCTGTGCCAGTGCTCAGACACCTTCACAGTAAAGAAGTGTTTCCCGATGTTCAGAGGGAAATTTCCATGTTTCAGTTTGCACCCCATTACCTCTGTTCCTGCCACTAAGCACCACCAAAAAGAGCCTGGCTCTGCCCGCTTTGCACTCTCCCTTCAGGTATTTATATACATTAACAAGATCCCACCAAAGCCCTCCCTTCTCCTGGCTGAACAGTCCCAGTTTTCTCAACCTTTCCTCTTAGGAGAGATGCACCGGACCCTTCATCATCTTTGTGGCCCTTTGTTGAACTCTATCCAGTATGTCCCTTTCTGTCTTGTACTGGGGAGCCCAGAATTGGATACAGCTCTCCAGGTGTGGCCTCACCAATATGAAGCAGAGGATAAGCATCACCTCACTCAACCTGCGAACAACACTCCTAATGCAGCCCAGGATACCATTACCCCTCTTTGCAGCAAGGGCGTATTGCTGGCTCATGTTCAACTTGGTGTCCACCAAGATCACCATGTCCTTTTCTGACAACCTGCTTTTCAGTTGGGTGGCCCCCAGCATGTACTTCTGCCTGGTGTTATTCTTCCCCAGGTGCAGGACTTTCCACTTCCCCTTACTGAACTTCATGAGGTTCCTGCCAACCCATTTCTGATATTTAATACCATAGAGCAAGGTGTAGAACAAATGGAAGGCTTGGATGAACAAGTGCATGTGACAGTATGGCATGCTACAGTGATTATACATATGGTGGCAAAGAACTTACATGCCTGAAAGCCGTTTTTTTCCTAACACAAGATACTTCTTCCTGCAACACTTGTTTCTCTTAGAAATAAATGTAGAGATCGGGTGAATAAAATAGGAAAACAATATAACAAGTCTTTTAAAAGAAACAACCTTAACATAGCTGATAATGAAGTAAGTTCCATTAGGGATGAAAATAACCTAATCTTTGAACTATGGGGCAAAAAGTGAAAGCCATGAATTCTTAGAAGGAAGCATCCAAAGCTTTTGAAAATGGTTCATGATGGATGTCTTGATATGACAGTGTACTCTTACCTGTATTTTCATAATTTAACCCATGTGCAAGTTTGGAAAAAAAAAAAAAAAAAAAAAAAAAAAAAGAAATGGCCACAGGAATATTAGAGAAAGGAGTGCAATGGTAATTTCAATGTGCCTAACAGAAATTGGCAAATGTATAGTAGAATACTAAGGAAGCCAGCACCTACTTAGCAACATGCTAATCAGAACTATGGTGAGTCACATCAAGGACATATTCACTAGATGTGGTATTTGTGACAAACTATTCCCCAAAATAGACCCTGCTTCTATAGGTCTTCAGCTGTGTGCATTTTAATGAGCTGAAGACTCAAATAAATAATGATTCCATAACAGTCTCTTGTGGTCTGAGCTTTAAATTAGGAACCCAGAGGTAAATCAGAGGCAAGAACCGCATTAGAGCCATGTAAAGTCTAACATGGTCAGCGGCAGCTTAATATGATCATTGAATAAATGGATTAACACTAATCACATGAAAAAATAATAAAAATGAGTGGACAGTAATTTAGGCAAAATTACAAATATTTAAGTGTACTTACGGTAGCAGAAACAAATACTTAATGGTAAAAATACTGCTTGTTATGTTGATCCAGCAAATAAGGAATATGTACCCGCGACAAGTTGTACAGAACCTATATACCAGACTGAGGATGCAGCTCAGTTTCAGCCTCTTCATACATAGTCCCTGGACGTCCCGTTGGCTGCATCAAAAAGTACAAGAAGTAATAAAGTGAATCTCGCCCCTGGGAGTGAAGGTACTAACATGTTCCAATGCTTCTACTATGTATGAATATTAATTTTTGTTTATAAATAGTCAGGGAAACTGTCAGGTCAGACAAGTGGTGCTTTAAGAGAAGTACTGGATATTAGTCTGATGTTTCCTGACTAATGTACACCTACAAAACTAACTTCCTGAGACTATCACAAGCATAGAGACAGCAGAGTAGATGTGTAAAAATCCCTGGTTAGATTACTGTTGGAGAGTAGTGATAAACACATTTAAATCATGAATTTTAAAAGTTTGGACTAATGACTTTTAAACATTTGTGAGTACTAAAGCTAACACTGGGCAGTTCCTTGATCAAGCTGTTTTTCAAGCTTTGTATAGATTTCAGTAGCAAGAAAGCAATCAATCCTTAAGAAGTTGGTATTTCCTGAACAGTAAGAACTACATTCAGCAAGCTTTTCCCAGCTAACCACATCTTAGGCTGCTTTCTGCAGCCTGAGGCTCATAATTTCCCAACCTTTCTGTCCTCTTGTTTTATTACACCCTAGTGAATTTCATTGGATAAAACAATATCCTGCACTTGTTATGTGCAGGTTTGAGTTTGAACAATAGGCTAAAATGTGGATAATTTTATAATTCCTATATTATTATAGACCTGGTGAGAAACAAATCTTCAGATTTCCAGTAAGTCTTCTCTGTTGTAGGCCAGAGGGAATGGCATAATTTGGGAAAAAATACTGTGGTTTCTTGAAACACCGAATGTTTATTTAATCAGTTACCACGGAGAATATGACTCTTTCCAAGAAAGGTACATTGTGTTTTACACCATTTGTAATAATATAGCTACCTTTCCGTCTGAGGTCCTCTATGCTGTAGAAGGACTTTAAATACATTTTTGGCTTTACTGGCAAAGATAAGGATTATTTTGCTCCAGGTCATTCAATAAAGATTACACTCCTACATATTGTCTTGTGTCAAAGTTGTATATGTCTGCCTGTTTCACACCAGATGGCTGCATTTCAGTAGTTTTATATAGAAGATGTATATGGAAGGTTGAAATAAAACATTCATTGTAATCCAACTTCTTCCAGTTGCTTGTATGTTTTAGTTGTATCCATCAAGCTTGATGTCATGCAGGAGAATGTTTAAAATACAACTTTGTAGATTTGTTTCTGTTCATCCTGAATTGAGATTTATTTAGAACGATTGTAGAGAGAATGTAAATCAAGTGTATTTCATATTATAACATATCAGACATTGTTTTATGAGATATTACAGTCTGTAAAATACAACAAGAAATATGATGCCTTAATCTATGGTTCTACTGTTTTAAGGGTGAAAGAGCACATGTAATTCTAAGAGAGCCTTAACCTCTGCTTTCAAGTTTTGAGTTATTCCTCATGCTAGCTTTCTTTTTTTTTTTCCGAGCTTTTTTCTCCCCACCTTGCAAGGATATCACTAAGATACATGGCAAACCTATTTTTTTTGCCTGAAACACAAAAGTAAATGTGTGATTATTTGATTCACATATTTTCAGTGGTCTTTTAACTGCATCTTATGACTTAGTTTCTTATCAGCTTTTCTATTAAATGTTGGTTCAAATGTTACTTTAGCATTATGGTTTTGGCTTCAGTGATTTAGTAATTTTTCTCCAGTTTACCTTTGTACTCCATTATAGAGAATAGTTGGTCTTGCTTCCTTTGGGCTTTTGTCGCCAAAGATTCACTGATGAAACACCTAAGGCCTAATAAGGAAGCCATGTAAAGCCTCAAAGCTAAAGATCAAAGTAAATAACAATCTAATATATCAAGTGTATCAACTGAAAAAAATGGGAAGATAGGCTTGAGCAAGGCCTTTTAAACTTTGCTCCTCTTTCTTGTAAAACAGGCTGCTACTGAATCACAAACCCAGTTACAATGACCTATCAGTGCAATTCACTGGAAATAAGATTTTCTGACTGGTATTTATGAAGCGCTTCGTATCACTAGATGTGCAAGCATAAATAAAGAATATCGTTGTTCGGGGATGGAAAAAAAAATAAAAATCGCGGCTTTACTCCTCCTTTAAAAACAAGTCTTGCCTTTCTTCGTTCCCCCCTCCCCTTGAGAGTGGAAAAGAAGGGTCAGGACGCCGTCCTGGCTCCCCCGAGCCCCTCTCGTACACCCCGTTGCCTCGGGGAGCGGGACCCGAGCAGCGGAGCGCGGCCGGCAGAAGGCGGGACACGGCGGGCGGCTCCCCCCTGCCCCCGCCTCGCTGCAACCCGCCGCTCAGCGCACTCCCGCAGGCCGAGCGCCCGCAAGCTCCCGGCGGGGAACAGCCTCGGCTCCCCTCTCAGGAGAGGGTCCGCCGTGGGTTTGAAGAGAAGACGGCGCCCCTCGACGCCCCGCAGCCCCGGCCCGTCCCCCAGCCCGCTCCCCCTCAGCTGCCCGGGGGCGGCCATTACCTCAGCGCCGCACTCGGCACCGGGAGCGGGGCTCGGGGGCGGGGGGGAAGGCTAAGCGCAACCACCAACCAGAAACCGCGACTGGCCTCTGACTGACAGGTCACAGCACCCAATAGGAGCCGTCACTTGAGCAGGCGGGGTGACAGGGAAGGGCGCTCTACTGTCACCGCCCATAAGGAGGAGCCAGGGTGCGGGGCACGGCTCGGGGGCGTGGCTCGGCGTTCAGGGGGCGAGGCTTCGAGGCCGTTAGGGGCGTGGCCTCGCTAGGGGTATTTAAACCTGGCGCGGAGGGGCTCACCCGCTCAGTCGGCGAAGCGCTGCTGGAGGTGCGGGTGTGTGTTGTGCGCCGGCCGCCTCACGGGCTTTTTTTTTTTTTTTTTTTTTCCCTCTTTTTTTTTTTTCCCCTACCTTACGCGCGTGTGTGCAAGCGGCCGGCGGGGCCCGTCCCACCTGGGTCAGCGGCTCTATCGGCGCGTCTCTTCCTCCTTCCCTCCCTCCTGCGCCTCCGCAGAGGGATTTCTCCGGGCTCCTTGTCCGGTGTAAGGGGGGGGGGGCGTCCCCCCCGGCCCCCGCGCCCCTTCCCGCTCCCGGCCGGGGATTTGCGGCGCTTCCCTCTGGATGCGTCCCCGCAGCCCCGGGCGGGAGGCGGCCAGGGGGAAGCGCTGCCGCCGAGGATTTACCGCCGTCTGGCACTCGGACCCGCGCCGCCGCCGCCCCCTTCCCCGCGGGGGTACCCGGCGTCCCGGCTCCGCTGCCGCTCCAGGCCGCCGCCGCCATGGACGAGAAGTACCTACCCGAGCTGATGGCGGAGAAGGACTCGCTGGACCCGTCCTTCACCCACGCCCTGCGGCTGGTCAACCAAGGTGAGGGCCGGCGAGCGCGGAGCGGGGCCGCTTCGTCCCGCCGCGGGAACGAGCGGTAGGGACGAGCCGGAGTCAGTGACGGCCGCCGAGAATGCTCGGTGAGGGGCTTACTGAAGAGAAAAACACTTGGTGGGTTTTTCTTGTTGTTCGGGCTGCTGGTGTTTACCGGCTCCCGCCTCCTTCCCTTGGCAGGGCTGCGCGGAGCAGTCGGGGAGTTTCCTCCGGCACTACCCGGGGGAGCTCCCCGAAGCTTCCTGGGCTGCTCCTTTAGCAGCCAGAGCGTCTCCCCAGAAAACAGCAAACGTTGGCCTGCCTTCCCAAATTTATCCTGTTTCAGAGGTGTCTTTTACCATAGAGAAGGCGCGATCGTTCACTGCTTGAGTTACAAATTATTCCAAGTTGAATTGCTGTGTAGAACAGCTTTGGACTTCTGCACTCTGCTTGGGCTTCGAGTCGATTGATGAAACCCTGAAAGGTGTTTCTGTTTTACCCTGCTAATGTGTCTCTGAACAATAAATAGCTTACTGTTTATGTGTGAGCCTTTTTAAAAAGGAGCCTACAACCTGTGTCACTTCCTAGGAACTTTTGGCTCTGTAACTGAATATTATGGAACCAACAATATGTTTTGGTGAATTTCTTAAAAACCCCAAAGACTGTTTTCTTTTGCAATTATATAATGCCAAATAATAAGTGATGCCTACCTCTTCTGCATCTGACATATTAGATGAGCTTTAAAGTGCGAGCTTTTTGTTGTGATGCTGTACTGGATAGAAGAGTAATTCTGTGATTTAGAGTATGGTTTGATAGAAATCTAGAAATATTGTGTGATTGGCAGGTGACTTTCCGGTATAGCTCTGGAGAGACAAATACTTGCGCTTGGGATGGTAAAGTGAAGGAAGTTACAAACTGATCTTCTAACATAATGGCAGCTGAAATTATTTTGGCTTCAATTGGAATGATTACAAAGCTGTGCTAGTGTACTCTACTTCCTATAACAGGAATATGTCTCAATCAATGTGGCTGCTTTTAATGCTTTGTTGTAGTTTTTAATGGGTAATGGACTGCGAATGCCCATCTCTAAGCCAGAAGGAGAATCAACTATTGTCTGAAATATTGGGGAGTTTGGAGTAGCTGTTTCAGTTTCAGCTGTGGAATGCATATGCCATGTGATTTACAACTGCATGTCCTTGGATGGTTGGTATTCTGTGTATTTTTCTTAACTTTGCATTTGTAGAAATGCTATCGTTGATAGTGGGAGAAGGAGAATTATGTTAATAAACAGATATTTGTATTGTTTGTTATAAACAAAAACTTGTTAAAATTTAGCTTGATGGCTGAAAATTTAAGACTGCAAAATAGTGAAGTTCCTTTCCAGATAGTGAAGGAAGAATCTATTTTGCATATGTAAATTATTTTGGGAAGTTACAGGAGTATGTGATTTACTATTTTACAAACAGCATTTATGGAAGTAGATATGACTGTATGGCTATTAACAAAATTGTGACTTTCTGGGACTATCATAGTTTTTTGATGTCTTAATTGAAATGACAAATTAGGAAAGACAAACTTCTGCCTGCTTTTATCATGTAATACTTGGTATTTGCATGCATACTTTCAGCTCCAAAAATAAATGATACTGTCAATGAAAAAAATGAATGTAGATGGACATGGATACAACCTCTTTATTCTAGTATGTCTCTGGATTTTTTTTGACTTGGAAAGTGAAATCTTGCATTAAATCTGAAGTATGTTACATGTTAGAGGTAGGTAAAAAAAAGATTAAGCAGGGTGACTGTCAACTGGCTAGTGGTAGTTTAAAATGCAAAATTATATAATTTCTATGTAAAATGGATATTTTAGTGATAGAACCAAAGAACCGGCTAAGGTAAAGTGAGTGTATAAGTCAAGTGGGAAATATAAGACAAGATGTTTTTACAAACCCATCCTGTTATGATGGAAACTATCAGTGACTGTTTTTCTCCATCCCAATTGTAATAATTCTGTGCAGTTAAATGAAGTTGAATATTAATGGAAATGTATATTTAATAGTTCTGGCTTGTACTTCATATGTCAGCTCCACTGAGTTCTTTCTATGATAGTTCAGTGAGCAGGGAAATGATATGGCTTGTCTGATTTTTTTTTTTTTTTAAAGTGGGTTTGTTTAGTTTTTAAATTTAGAATAAAACATGTTTCTAAGTTTGGCTTCTTCCAGCTATGTGTAAGAACGCCTTAGCAAAGGTTTTAAGTCCTTAAAATAGCCAGTTTAGTTCTGTAGTAGCATTTTGATGTCTTAATAGTATTTTATTTACTGTTTGTGTTTACTGAAATATTATAGATCAACTTTCTTCAGAAACTCCAGACTGATTTATAGGAATTGTATAGTGGAATAAGTGAATCCTTCTGAGATGCTGAAGGGATTAAGTGTGTGTACTGCTTAGACCAAAGAGCCAAGTCACTAAGAAATTTCTAACCATGTTGAAATTTGGTTTCTAGGGAAAAGTCCTGTGTCTAGACTTTGAAAATCTGTTATAGTTCTCAAATGGAAGTGGACACAGTTAGATATTATGCTTATAATTACAAATTGTAATTTGGGTATGCACAAATTACATGATTTTAAATGATAAAGGAAAAAGGTGAAGCTTGACATGCTTTGAATTCCAGGGTAGCCTTTTGAAAGAGAACAATGTGGAGATAATGAAGATGCTGCAAGAATATTTCCATAGACAGTATTATTAATCTGTCTTTCAGGATTAAGAGCTGACAGCATCTTCTCTTGCCCTAATAGAACCGTGTTTTGAAAGCATTAAAAACAAATATCAGTATCCTTCATTGTTCCTGTGTGGTACATGGTCGTGCTGACTTTTGTTGTTGAAAACTCTGCTTAAGTATTTGGTGACTTGTCTCTTTGGGACACAAAAATAAGACCTATTGCTTAAATTTTGCTTTAAAAGGTCATTGAAACATCCAGCAGCTGCTTAAATTTTAGAACAGTAAGAATCTTTTGCAGGAGAATAGACTATATCCTTTGCTCTAATTAAGATTTAATTGTATACTTGAACATTAAGCCTTCCTAAAGGGGATATTTTTACCTGTAAACCTTTAAACATGTTACAGATTGGAAGTAGACTTATTTTACATGTGTAGTGAGGTGACCATGCTAATAGGATTGATTTGCAGATGGTACTAGACAATGGGAATGGGAACATTATGTCCAATTATTATCTTACTATACCTTCTGTAATTGAAGAACCTTGAGAAAAATGAGATTCTGTGAAGAAGCAAGAGTTTAGTACATGTGTGTATCTATTTTTTCTGTTTACAAATCTCAGGTGCTCATCTTTATTCAACATGTGAAAAATACTTTTGTATGTGAAAGTGATGCTTGTTCTTTGTGTTTATCAATGCAAGGCACTGAGTATCTTTTCAACTTTGAGACCTTTATTTTGAAGTCAGACTTTATTTGCATTTGGGGTTATGTAAATGGTGGTAAATGTGCAGGTGTAATGTTGATTGTCATAATTTAGTTTGTGATGATGCTGTAAAAATACCGAAAGATCTGTAAGAGAAAAGCTACTTCATTGTCTTCTTTCACATCTATGCATAGTATTGATTTATGACAAGTCTTTTGTGAATGTTGGGTAAAGTATGTGGAATTTCAGATGGAAGATAACTAAATAAAACATGTTGATACCAGACATGTTTTGTAGCAGGGCAGACATTAAAAAGGATGCCTGGCACTTGTTTGATTTGTGTAATGTTAAATGTGTAGGTGAAGAGGACTCTGTAATCACAGTTAGGGCAGCCAAAATCCTTAAGAGTCCCGGTGCCAGTGCTAAGAGACAGCTTTTACTTCTCTGTACGTTGTACCTGTGGAATTTTCTTACAAGCTCATTTTAGCTACTTTGAGATTTGAGGTAATAACTTAAATTGGTGAGGCTTCCTTTAAATTATCAACAAGATGTACAGGGATAACAAGCCTTCCTATCAGTAGATGGCTGTATGTGCTAGCTGTGTATTGAATGACTTCACTGAGCCATGTGTCTAGTATCAAACAGTAGAGGCTTGATGGTTCTTGTGTCAAATTTTGAGTAGGAGTTCAGTGATCAAATAGACCAGTACCTCCTTAAATAGCAGAGAGCATGGGGTGTGAGGAAAGGTGTACTGACTTTCTGCATTGTGGAGGATATTAACCATCTGTT